AATCACAACACACTGGGCTAGCTAACCAATCAGAGCCCATCGCCTATTTCTGAGGGAGGGGCTTCATAAAAGAAGGAAATGATCAGCACGTTTCTCAGAGAAGGGACAGAGCGGTGTGGAATAAAGGTAAATTATGTGAAAAATAATGTGTTTTTAAAAAAACGAAGCATTACCACATGTTAGACTGCACCCCATGAACACAATCAAGCCTAGAAAAAAACCAGTGAACCACCCCTTTAATTTGTATATTGAAAACTCCAAACAATTTATCACTATGTACATATTTTCATTGTTCTTAATAACTCATTTGCCATTGTTTCAGGTGTGTCTCTGTTGTTTGTTTAAATGTTGAGAATATGTTTCATTTTTCTGCTTGTTTGCAAATAAGATAAATATCTGTCATTACAGAGCAAATGTGAATCCTCTCCATGCATTCACAGATGAACTCAAGTAATGTAGAAACGCTGAGTGTCTTTGTGTGTCCGGTCTATACAGATCACCTGCTTTAGCTGTTTATCCGGTGCTAGTTAAGCAGTTTTCCTGCTCTGCCGTACACTAAAGCTCAATGCAGAAGTGTCTCTTAACAGTTAAGATGAACACAAACTCACAGCTGAGTGGCACACACATGCATGTCAATGTGGGTTAGACTGCTTCATCCCCACAGCTCACAGAGCTCACGGATTAACACACATACAGCTTCACATCACACTGTCCAGGGAAACATGGACTCTAACAATACTCAACAGTTACGCAGTCATGCTTTGCATCGCCTGCTTGAGAACAGTTCATGAATTCCTGATTAATAGTTCATTCTTGATGAATTAAATAGCTTTTTTTACCCTCCAGAGAATGACGGGCACTCGAGTTGCGTCCTCGCGATGGAAATGATGGCTTATTCTGAACGGATCCTTTGGGTCTTGAGCTCTTTTTCCCAGGATCCTTTGCGGTATGAACAACACGGATGTGCATTGAGCGCTCACGGTCCTGTCCGCTGAGGAAATCTGGCAAATCATTGATCTGCGAGGAAAGACAGAGCCTAACATTGACCTAATTACATCAGTGTAAGCCACTCGAATGACTGTTTAATAACGTCTAATCATCAATGATCAATTAGAATCATTACTTTGTTTGTACATTTACTGTATCTATTAAATATGAGGAACATGCATTTGCACCTATGGGTTAATAATGACAGACAAATAGATTTTCTTGGTAATTGTGACATTTACATGTTTGATCTGTGTGTGTCCTCCGGTCTTTCAGCGCTGAAGCGCTCCATGACTCATTCTTTGAGCTGTACGCACATGAGCTTACCAAACACACCTTCTTTAAGCAGTTTAACATGACAGGATAAGCAATCGTCCTCACTATAATTAGCATTGTCTTAGCAGACAGTCGTGCTTTAGCTGACATTTAGAACACATTGACTCAGCGGCAAGTGATGTATGATTTATAAAATATCAGTAAATCAGTAAATAAATAACGCATGAGTCATGACTATTAGTTAATGTATTTAAATAATAATTCATATAATTTCATAAATAAATAATATATAATTATACATAATCACTCAAGCAATTCAGTGAGAGAATGAGAAATATACATTTAATAAATATTCAAAAATAAGTTTATGAAGTCTCTTGGCGTGTAAAATGCTTCCGCATTGTTGGATGATTCATTTCTATGATTTTCCATGACTTTTTAAATCATTTGTGATAACTTAATAAGGACTCTGCTCTCACAAAGAGTAATTTCTAACCAAATTGTATCTTTTTTTTTTCTAGGTCTAGTAACCACACTTTTGAAATTCCGTAATATTTCCAGGTTTTTCACTGTAAAACTTTTTTGATACTTTTTGCAAAGATTGGTAGTGTGTGGGATTTGCTTTGTTTTTCAGTTTTGTCAGGAACACGTGAATCCGGTTCAGAAGAGTGCGGCCAAGTTAAATTATAATGAATTCATTTTGCAATAAAGAATTAATGCAATAAAAAGAAGTCAGCAAAATATCACAAATTAATTTTATCATTGAGCAATTAGGCTATGCGATATATGGTTCTTATAGCTTCTGTTGATGTGCAAACTGCATTGCCTTGTACTGTTATTTTACTATATAGTGCTGTACTGTATTGTACCTTATTGTTGTTTTAGTAAATGCATTCCCGTTTTCGTAACTGGTTAATATTCTCTCAACGTTTGTTCAGTTACTTTAATAACATTGTAGAAATGTTTGCACAAAAGAAATATATAGGCTATTTATATATCATACATGGAATGTTTCTCTCAAAGATTTTAGCTGGACGTTCTTACAAGTTACAAGGCAACATTCCCATAATGTTTGCAAAATGATCAAATGGAATGTTCCCATAAAGTTTTCTCTAACGTTCACATGACCAAGAACGTTTTTAAACACAGAACTAAGAACGTTTTTTAAACTTTCAAAAAAAACTGGACGTTAAGAGGATAGTCAGAGATAACCTTTTCATTAGCAAACGTTCTTGTTAGCTGGGCTAATCAATTGTACTCTTTGTAATCACTTGTAATCATTGTACTTGTGATAAATTGATAATAGCGTTGGAAATTTGATTTCTGTGTCTCTCTCACCAGCTCGATGCTCTTGATGTGTCTGAAGCTGAGCGCCTCTCGCAGCGCGCGCGGCTGATACTCGCTCAGATACACGCGCTCATCGCTCAAGATCACATGCATAAAAACCTTCTTGACCGAGCCCGAGACCACCACACACGGCTCGTAGACCCGGATCCGCTCGTACACATCCCGACTGGTGTTCCTCTTGAGGAAAGAGTCCAGTTTGCTGTTGTTGTGGCGGAGCAGCCCGCGCGCGCTGCTTCTGGCCATGGGAATGTCACCTTTAACACCACACACACACCCTACGTCCCATATCCCGCTCGCGCTGTCATATTCAATACCATACAGAAGTCATTTCTGCATTCACTCAATCCCTGCTGTGTCGGCTGTAAGGTGTATGCGTAATGTATTTAACTCCTGTCAATGGGAGCGGAGCTCTCATTGCGCATGCGCAGCCGCCTTTACAAATAGTGCAGCATGGCTTGGCTCTTTGTTATGAGGAGAATACCGCATGCATGCAGCAATAACGAAAGATAGACTATAAACGTAAAAAAAAAATGAATATAAAACGTTGTAGCTGGTGAAATTGACAGCCGACATGTAATATAGCGTGAAAGCTGTATGGACTCATTTTATTTGGTGGTGTTTGGTGCTTGGATTTTTTGTTCTTGTGGAGTGCCCTTGCACTGTTATTAAAAAGAGCATTCTGCTAAACTTCTGCTTTTGTGTTTCAGGGGGACAATTATACGAATATGAAGAATATCCATTTTTGGCTGTTCTATTCTTTTTATAGTCCTACTATATGTTGTATAATAATGTAGAAATGTATATTATTTTATTTTAATTTGAGGAAGAAGGATTGCGGTTTAATGTAAGAGAGTGTTTACTGTTTTATGACTGAAATACATGTTGAAATGAAGGCGGAACAATCGCACCATCTTGTGGGCGTAAAGACGAGTCGCTTTTATTTGAGCAGACGCTTCCATTTCTTATTGATGTGCTAGTTAACCTGGGAGCAATTAACTAAACTGTTAGACATTATGCCTCTCAACATTACAGCATTCTCATTCATAATTTAATGTGTAAAAACGCCATTGCCCTCATATATATGGAGACTATAACAATAGTAATTTTAAACAGAATGATTTTATTACATGAATATTTATCAGGTACTGTAAATAATAAAAGTAATCAGCTGTTCAGAGCAACAACAACAAAAAAAAAAATCAAGATTCAACATCTGCAAAGACCAGTCATTTATTCACGCTAAATTCACTGTTACCCATCCATCATCTTGTTTTCTTCATCCTCTGTCCTTCACAGCGTTGTTTCCTATATATCCTGCAATATACAGATAAAATACTGTGAACATGCCAAAGCTGAACTGATGAACTGATTCATTTGATGGTCAGCTAATGAGACAGTTCAAGCTCAAGTAGGTCAGTTTGACTGGACCCAGAAAGTCAGATCCTTTTTTGGACACTAAAAAATACAAGACACATGTACAATGATTTTAAGCTTTTTATTTGTTATAAACAAAATCAAGTTTGAAGTATAATAGGTTTATGAGATCCCAGTGTATGTCCGTAAGCTGGACATCAGTGTAATTCTCCTACCCTTCCATAATATAAAAACATAGAAATATTAAATTGATGCTCTAATGTGACCTGACACAGTTGCATTTTTTTTATTTTATGAGTGCAAGTAGTCAGAACCTTTGCCACAAAAATAAAAAGTATAACTAACAATACCAGTATGGAATCCTCACCTCTTCTAATAACTTTCCTCTCCAGGAAACTACGCAACGGGCCTCCTTCGAGTCATTCAGAAATTTCCTCGCATATGCAACATACTAAATGTAACTACATTTGGACCCTCACCTGGTCCAACATCTAGATCTAGCTGTGTGAGGGGATCTAGGTGGCTCTAGCTTGAGTCCATCATTTCTCTTGGTTTTCTGAACCCCAGGAGCTGTTCGCACGTAGGGGCCCAGTTGTAAAAGTTCTGAATAAAAGTGTTTCTATGGCCACAGACGCTGTGGAGCGGGCTGCTCGCTGGGGCTTTCTATGGAATCCTCACCTCTTCTAATAACTTTCCTCTCCAGGAAACTACACAACGGGCCTCCTTCGAGTCATTCAGAAATCTCCTCGCATATGCAACATACTAAATGTAACTACATTTGGACCCACACCTGGTCCAACATCTAGATCTAGCTGTGTGAGGGGATCTAGGTGGCTCTAGCTTGAGTCCATCATTTCTCTTGGTTTTCTGAACCCCAGGAGCTGTTCGCACGTAGGGGCCGTAATCCGTCGCCATGGCGACAGTTGTAAAAGTTCTGAATAAAAGTGTTTCTATGGCCACAGACGCTGTGGAGCGGGCTGCTCGCTGGGGCTTTCTGTGGGCGGAGGGGTGGAGAGGCGGAGGTAGACGGGCGCGCTGGGTACACTCGGCACTGTGGGTGTGGGAACCCTCTGCAGGACCACATGCGGGTACATCTGGCTTTCCGTACGGTAAAGACCAGGAAGAGGAGCTTTCAGGAGGTTTTCCTGACTCCTGCAAAACAAAAAGACCATTTTAAAATAAATAAATGTATGCTTTTAGTGAGCAAGTGAATATTAAATTGATCAAAAGTGACAGTAAAGACATTTGGAATGTTAAAAAAAAGATTTCTATTTTGAGTAAATGTTGTTCTTTTGAACATTCAGCAAAGAATCCTAAAAAAATGCATAATGGTTTCCATAAAAATATTAAGCAGCACAACTGTTTACTATGAAAGATTGTTTCCACCATGGGATACAAAATCAAAAAGGTAATTGTAGAATTTTATCTCACAATTCAGACTTTATTTCTCATAATTCTGACTATATCTCTGATTACATCTCACAATTTTTTTTTTTTAATGGAAGCTTGTTTCCCCCATAGGGTAAAAAAAAATGAAAAAGAGAATTGCAGCTTTTACCCTCACAATTCAGACTTTTTTTTTTTACTATTCTGAGTTTATATCTCGTAATTCTGATTGATTATCAGATTTGCAGAATATAAACTCATAATTGCATGATATAAATGCAGAACTGTGAGATATAAACTCAGAATTGTGAGACATAAATGCAGAATTGTGACATAAGTGGATAATTGCAAGATATAAATGCAGAATTGTAAGATATAAACTCAGAATTGTGAGATATAAATGCAGAATTGCAAGAAATGCAGAATTGCGAGATATAAACTCAGAACTGCAAGATATAAATCTATATATGTAGTATTTATATATAAAGATGTAAAGAAAAATCTGAATTGACAGTGTTTTGACAGAATTGTGACAAACTTGCAATTTCAAGAAAAGTCAGAATTGTGAGATAAAAAATAAAATCACAATTACCTTTTTAATTTTTTATTTTGTGATGGAAGCAAAAAAAAACAAAAACATTATTACAAACTCAGAATTCATAGAAAGAAAATCAGAATTGTCTCTTAAATAGTACCAGAAATTTGATGATTGTAACAACTATTGTGATTTAATCCATTCATTTTTAAATTTAACAGTGCTCATTTTCTCACCTCTGATACCCGCGGTTATCATAACCAGCTAGTCCCCCCATATAAACCGGGCTCTCAGGGGTCAGACGGGGGTCAAGATGCTGGGAAAGGTTGTAAATTTTAGGTGGTGGAAAAGCTTCCCAGTCTCCTTCGTCTCTCTTCAGCCAGCACTCGCTCTTCCAGGACGATTTGCGCTTGTCTCTAATCCTGGAAAGTCAGAGAAATCATTAGCATCCTCTTTGCCTATTTTAAGCTCCCTTGTCTCTTCCTCCCCAGATGTGCATACCTGCCCCGTCCGTCTGTCCGTTCTGCCCTCTCTTTGCTCATGCGCTCCTGCAGACAGCAGATGATGAAGGACACGGACATGGCGAGGATGACGATGCTGCTCACTACCGATGCCAGCACGGCCACTCTCAGCCCGCGGTCCTCCGGTTTAGGAATGGCTACCATATTTACACAATAGTGCACATTGAAAATCTGGGATTTAATTAGCAGGAGTGCATTTCTTAGGAGTTTTTCTCTCTTAAAACAGAAATGATGGCAGTGAACACAGACCCTCACAGTCGGGTGGGTAGTTGCTCCACTGAGTGGTGTCGCTACGCAGGACACAGGTGATCTTCTCGCTGCCCACCAGCTGGTATCCCTCGAGGCACCAGAACGCCAAAACAGTTCCTACGGACATCCCACTGCCCTTCTCTACATAGAAAGAACCTCGCTGAGGGGGAAGCAGTGACGTGCAGCTCAGGCCTGCAAACGCGAACCACAGATGGTTAGAAACCACTTTTAAATGTGCTAAGACTTCAAAAATACTTCACTCAAACAGAGAATAGAATAGGATAGAATAGAATAGAATAGAATGCAAATTGTTGCTATCACTTTTGCCTTGATTGGAATAAATAGAATAGAATAGAATAGAATAGAATAGAATAGAACTTGTTGCTATCACTTTTCCATAATTGGACTAAATCAAATACAGAACAGAACAGAACAGAACAGAACAGAAAAGAACATCTTACTATCACTTTTTCATATAATAAAATTTGCTGCTATCACTTTTACATAATTGGACTGAATAAAACACAGAATAGAATAGAATAGAATAGAGCTTGTTACTATCACTTTTTCATAGAATAAAATTAGTTGCTATCTCTTTTACATAACTGGACTAAATCAAACACAGAATAGAATAGAATAGAATAGAATGTATCTTATTGCTATCACTTTTTCATGATTGGACTAAATAGAATAGAATAGAGTGTAACTTGTGGCTATCACTTTTTCATAATTTGACTAAATAGAATATAATAGAATGTAACTTGTTGCTATAACGTTTTCATAATTTGACTAAATCATGACAGCATAGAATAGAATAGAATGTAACTTGATGCTATCACTTTTTCGTAATTTGACTAAATAGAATATAATAGAATGTAACTTGTTGCTATAACGTTTTCATAATTTGACTAAATCATGACAGCATAGAATAGAATAGAATGTAACTTGATGCTATCACTTTTTCGTAATTTGACTAAATAGAATAGAATAGAAGCATAAAAAATAAATGTCAATAATCACAATATCAAGACTTATGTTCATAAGTGCATAAGTCCATCAAAATGACAGCTTTAAGTGTGTCTGTGAGTGTATGTGTGTAAGAAAGTTTTCCTGGGACTTAGTTATCCTCAAGGGTTAAGATGAAAGCATTTTCCCTCCTCTCTTTCCATCAGTACCCACAGGGTGTTTTCTCCCTCGCTCTATCCCATAATCCACCTCTCCTCCAGTCTCTCTACATTCCCACAGAGGATTCAACGTCTTCTGTGTTCTCCTACTGAGTTTTCATCACTGCACTGTACATCTCCACTGTCAATATACAGTCAAACGGAGCTCGTATTGACTGTGCTGGAGACAGTGTGATTAAGCTGGCAGGGTCACTGGATGGTGTTTATTGTTCACACCAGTCCCAGTCCTGTGCTGGTCTCATTAAGCCCAGCTTAACTGGCATGGCAATGCTGCTAGCGTTAAGCAATCCGACTCCATGGCAAAATAAATAAATAACTCAACTGTCAGTTTCTTTTTCTCCCCTCCGTCCCATCTCACATACTCCCCAAGGGTTGCACCAGAGAGCTTCTCTTAGAATAGAACACGATTAAATAAAGCATAGGGCCGTGCATTAAAAATTGATTACCCACAAGTCCCTGCAGCTGAGGAGGCCGGGATGATGCAGCCTGACCACAAGCTGCACTGGGACATTCTCCAGTGGGACAGGTTGAGTGGATCAGTTTTGACAATGCACGATCATGTAACTTCAGCAAGGAACGCTGTGGTACGACTTTGCATCTTTAACGTGTAACTGTAACTCGTCTGCTGACCTCACCAGCTATTCCTGTGTACTCCGGCTTTCTCTCTTTAACACTGTCAGTTAAGTAATCCCTTTAAAGAAGTGACGTGGACGCCTCTGTATTTGTGTTGCAGGTAAATGAGTGACTTGGAGTGACTGGAACAACTTTACAGGTGTCCACATTATGTTTTTTTTTATAAGGAAATGCATTATGCCAGATTATTTTAGCATCATTGATCTGCAATTGCAGTTTTTATGAATATTTTGCATTAGATTTTATTTTTATATTTTCTGTTTTTCATTTTAATTTTAGTTAAGGTTTTAGTGATTTTGTTGCATTTTAAATGATTTTTATATAGTTTTTATTTTTTACTTCAGCTTCAGTTTGAATTATTTTAGTGTATCAACTTAAAATAACCCTGCATTATGGATTATCTGCGTTATTATCATAGCAATTAATTTTTCTCCCAAATTCTTATTACTTTAAAGTGTTTGGATGTTTTTTTTAATGTTCTTTGTTTTAGAGTGATTATTAATTTCCCATTACTGTAATGTAGTAAAAATGGCAATTATTATTATTTTTAAAATTTATAATCAAGATAAATTAAAGGCTTAAGAATTACTACCATAGTTTATAAATAAAATGTACATTATATATAATTTGTAATATATAATAAAAAAAATTTCATGTGAGAATGAGATTTTTTGCATAATATATTTTATATAAATTCTGTAATGCAATAAATTTATTATAATGCATTACACAACATAAAAATGACAGTAACACTATTTTCTAAAAAAAACAACATGATTTTCTAAATGAAACTTAAGGTAGTACAAGAAAAAATAACATGCAAAAAAAAAAGACAAATTAAATATATCTTTTTTTTATTTTACAGTAATTACTTTTTTGCATTATGTCAGTAAGAGTTTTGGGGGTAAATGTGCTAAAGTGTCATAGATAAAATGCCACAGTGCAAAAATCTTGATGTCCTTAAACAACCTTCTTCTTTAAACCAAATATGCCCTTCTTTTGACTTTAGGATGAAATCTGACCAGTGCATGTTCTTATCCGGGACGGATCCACTTCAGACTTCTTTTGCAGTGCACTGAAAGCTGAAAGCAGGGCAAATTCTGTCATGGCCACGGTGGCAATAAACCCCCTCCATTTCAGTTTCAAAGCTGGCAACCCTGTAACGGACCTGACAAACTGCCAACTATCCCACTGCCCGCCATTGCCACGTGGCAAAAAGCAGCCTTTGTTTCACCTGAGCAATAAACCTCAAGGTAACTGACACCTGAGGATGCTGTCTTTTCCTTCACAGAGACATTATACTGCAATCTAACTCATATATTACCTCGATAATATCAGAGATCCACAAATCTGTCATGCATATTGACTTTAGGTCAGGAAACATCAATAAACTATTTGCAAAGTACGCTCAAAGTATGCATGGCTGGGATATTTTATATGTTCTCCAATCATAATAAAATTTGAGTTCTATGCAGTTCAGGCTGATCTGATTCGCACTGGTGATTTTTTCTGAGCCGTTATGAAAGCTCTGTTTGCATGCAAACCCTTAAGAAGATTTTAAATTTTAAAGCCAACACGTTAATTTCACAATAAGTGCATGTGTTTTCATATATCTGTGTGTTTGCGGACTGTAAATGCTGCAGGTTGCGTGTGCTCTTTCTGAAAAAGTTATGCAAAACATGCTGTTAGGAGTTTATAAGCATGCATTACAACACATGTAAAAACTTTTTGAGTGCATTTGATAATTATTGCATAGCACTATATGATGAATATTGTTACTGTACAAACCTATATAGTTGCTCGTAGGGGTCTCAGTGCTGTTCATCCCCATCTTGGTGGCAGGTGGAGTGGTGCGATGAAATATGGGACTGACCGCAGACCCTTCATGTGGCGTAAAAGTCCAAGCCGAGCTCCACGTCACAGACCACAACAGAAAGCCCCAGGTGACGCGGCTCTCCTTCAAAGCCATCGAAGTCTGCTTAAAAATAAGATGGAAAGTGTGAATGTCAGTCGCTCATGTCCGCTGGTCCTTGGCGACTCCAGAAACTCTCCTGCGCTTCAGAAGCCAAACGCAGGCTGTTCGCTCAGGGACAGAGAGAGAGAGAGGGGGAGAGAGAGGGAGTTACGCTAACTCTCATGCAGCGCTGCTGTGTGTTTGTCCTCCGTTGCTGCTCCACTGCTGATTATGAGCCGCTTGCGTAATGCAACACACGGCAGAGCTGCGGTCGTTTCTGCAGTCAGTCACATATCCTCATGTTCATGTGCACTGCTCTGCTCTCTCTCTCTCTCTCTCTCCCTCTCCCACATGATTACAAGGCTTTAAAGTGCTGGCATAATTATGGTAAATACCATAATTATGGTAAACCCTAACCCTCCTCCAAACTAAAATTCCAGTTGCATCATATTTTTATAATACATATTATTTTTATTTTATTTTTTTACATTTTTATAATAATAATAATAAAGTAAACTATGCAACAACAGAAAAGGAAGTATGGGATAATATTATATATTTAAAATAATTATCTTCTGCTCACCGAGGCTGCATTTATTTGATCAAAAATACAGTAAAAATAGTAATATTGTAAAATATTATTAAAAATGTAAAATAACTGTTTTCTATTTGAATATATTGTAAAATGTAATTAAACATTTATTTAATTTACTCCAGTCTTCAGTGTCACATGATCCTTCAGAAATCATTTATTATCAATGTTATTATTATGTCTTTATTATTAATGTCTATTATTATTACCAATGTTGAAAACAGTTGTGCCGCTTTTTAAAGTTTCACATATTTTTGTGAAATATACAATATTATATAATAAATTATATATATAATGTATGTAACATATGCAATATTACAATATCTAATAAGTTATATATATATACACACACACACACACACACACACATACATTTATAAATAAATTAACTAACTAATTTAATAATAATAATAATAACATAAAATAATAACTTTTATTACACATATAATAAATGTAGTATAATTATATAGTATATTTCATATATTTCATATTCCAAATATTTTTTTGTTCTCAAATCAGTGTCAATAAACAGCTGACAACGTACCCCATAATGTTCACATGTGTGCCCCGTAATGTGCCAGCATGACCCCAAAAATGTGTGACAAGTCATTCCCGTCTCTCGGCTAGGTTTTTTTTTTTTTAACCCAGCACTTTTTAGAGTGTGAGTCATCATATTATCTGATTATTTCTTTTTTTAACGATGCCATTCTTTTCATATGCCTTAAAGCAGCACTATGTAACTTTTGGCACTCTAGCGGTTAATACACAGATCCCGCGGAAGAACATTCCAACCGGAGCTACTTCTCTAAGTTTATGTCTATGGCGATTCACGCAGGTATGTGTTACTCCGCAGCGGTGACGACCCGACCAGGCTACAATAGTCCAAATATAAGTACTTATTATAAGTGTACCGTAGTGATTCGGAATAAGACAAAAACGCGGTTTGGAAGATGAATTCATGATGTACTCGCTCATTATATACATTTAGCAAATTTTTAACACAGAAAAAGTTACATAGTGCTGCTTTAATCTCTCAATTTCTATTCAAACATATACCAGTTAACATGCAAAGCCTTTGTCCTAAAGTCACCTCACACATGACAATCATCACTGATGCTGTTTGACTCATTTCAAGTCATTTGATTGATTGATTGATTGATTGATTTAAAGTGAGTTCAGATCATCTGGGCCACATTTTGACAAAGAATCTGTCAAAAAGCATCTACTTTATTCATTCATTTATTTGTTATTGATCATTTATGCTGAAGATTATAAGCACTATCAGTGCAACACATGTCACTCGCTGGCTGACAGTAGCTATATATATCCCGTTGAGAGCTGACAGTCTCTGTGCAGTGATGCTGGTGACAGAGTGAGAGGAAAACAATCAGACTCCCATTTCATCCGAGCAAACAGTCCTGATGATGTCCCACACTCTTTCTGAGTTTTCCCTCTCAGCGTCAGACTTCTTCAGCATGAATAACAGCCTCACGCAGGAGCAGCCGTTCTCCTGACATTCATCCCCTGCTAAAACCCTAAAGAGCTTTACAGGTAACTTAGGCAACATTGATTAGGTTATGCAACCCTGTATTGTATGGAGAGCAGACCGATGATTTAGACGTGTGTCAAACATGTAACGTGATTACACTCCAGAATGAAAGTCAGTCAAACAGAAGCCCACAAACAGCTCCGACCCCAGTGTGAGCAAACAAAGCTTTGCTTTAGTACAGCATTTTCTCAGATTACGTTTTCTCGCTCAGAAAGAAATTACAAAGACTTAAAGCACATTACACAACAGACAAGCAGCAAACAGAGATTTTTATTCCTTGTTGGCTGCATTACGTTGCAGAACAGCACTTCAAGGCAGTCTTTAAAGGGGTCATATGATGCTGCTAAAAAGAACATTATTTTGTTCTACTTGAAAAATGCCAATTCAGTTACATTAATTGCTCTGTTTTCCACTAGGTGGCGTGTTATGCACATAATGGTCAAATGTATTGGACTGATTGAAGATTCAGACTGATCTTGTAATTAATTTCATTTTAATTGGTGCTTTTTTTGTACAAAAGTAAAATAGATACATATTATAGATACAGAATAGAAACTGGCAAAGAAGCCACTGGTAGATATTTGTCTGATTATTATGTATATAATATAATATAAAAAACGAACAGAACAATTTCTAAAACATTATATTGTTCACATTTATAATAAACGATTGTAAATTAATAATAAATGTTATGCAATTTATTATATTAATTATAATTATATATATTTATTTTATGTTGTAATTAGTGTTTAATATACATATATTATAAATTATTAATAATTAATTACAACCTTACTGGATTTATAATATATACATAATTAGTATACATATATCATTTAGAATTTTATTATAACATTTTAAATTATATAATTAAATATTATAAATAAATCATATAATTTTATTATAATTACAGTTGGACACACCTTACATTTCACATTGGCTTTAAACCCTTTTGATAGAAAGGCATTTTCATAAATGCTTAATATTTACCTGGATGTCTGTTCTTTCTTTCTTTCTTTCTTTCTCACTTTCTCTCTTTCTTTATTTTAATGGATCAGTTGGAGCAGCACACATGTGAACTCCAGTTCACATCATGTCAGGACGCACATCATGAAGATTTGCGTAACATTTGTTCAGAATTTTTTGATTGTACTATTATGCTAAAAAGTGGAAAACAGCCATGATTAGGTATTGACTGATAGCGTATGTACAGCACTCAATGCACTCGCCTGCTTACATGAAATGTGCGTTACATTCTGCGTAATCATGACATACAGGCTATGGGTTTAATGTGATCTTTTGAGCGCGCGTTAATGCAGGTGCTTCTGCTCTTTATTTCCTGACAGGCTGAACAGCGTGTTCTCTGCTCCCTGTTGAGTTTATTCTGAGAAAACGACGCTGTTGCATCTAAACGGTTCAATTTGGCTCGTGAGCATCGCAACCCCGCGACCCCACGTCCATTCATAAACTCCACTCGTTCACCTCTGATTGGTCCGGCTGTAAACTGGGAGGAGATATGGTTAGATTAAAGTACAATTAGCTTTACCGCGTATACTCACACGTTTCATCTTCATCCTAGGAAAGGTTTTTATAACGCACACGGAAAATAAGTTCATCAAGAGGACGGTTCATGCATGTTTAAGCGCAATTGGTGACATTTTACAGTGTAAAAAAAATTAGAAAGCATGGCGAATCAGAGATAGACGCATTTACAGGTGGAGACACAGAAGAGCCATCGGTGTCCTTTTCATCAATACACCCTGAAATCCTAGAAGAGGGCCTGCAGTCACTCCTGGATGGACTAGAAGGACTACAGCCACATTCAAACAGGAACCAAAGAGAAAAGTTGCGCTCTCAATCCATGCGAACTTTTCCGAGAAGACGCGCAGCGCGTAAAACGCACGAAAAGGGAAGCAGGACAAGAAGAAGTTAATAAAAAGTCATAAAAAGCTGAAGGGGGAGTAAAGCAAACTTCTCGAAGACAACTTCTTGGACTTCTCAGAGCTGAATTGAACAAAGCGTTCTCCCATGAGGCTGGAAGGTGCCAGAATGGACTTGATCAAAAAATTATGGACGGCTCGGAAACTCATTCTCGTGGTGATGATTCCTTTATCGCTGCTGCCTCTGCCTCTCATCCACCCGTGCAGTGTAAGTAGATCCTCAGTCATTTTGGCGCGCTTTTACGCGCTGCTTACTTTTGGGCACGTGCACTACATTGTGCGTTTAAATGCATTTTATTTAAACGTTATCGCTTTTTACGTGGTTTTAAGTAGATTTTAAATAAATTATTATTATTGATTAATTATTAAATTATTATTTTGATTAGTTTACTCCGCAAGGAATCTTTATATACGTGGAAAATGTGTGCAGACATAAATGAAACGCTGTTTTAGAGGCAGACAGACAGGTTAAATTATATAATGTCTTAAACAGTATAATTATGATATGGCTAATTCTTAACTGATTATGGTCTCCTGGGGTTACTCGAGGAGCCGCCGCGACCTCTCACCTGATTGGTCGTTTTCCAGGTGCGCTATATCAGAGCCGTGATGGTTCAAGTGCGCCGATGTTCTGACGGGAATTGTTTGTTTGAAACATCTGCAGGTTTTACAGATGTTGTTTGTTTGTGTATAGCAATTGGGATCTCAGATTCAGTCCAACAACAGCAAAGCCTGCAGAGAGGCATTGCGCTTATTTGACCGGAGACGTCATCTTGAATCCTACAAAAAAACCGCTTGCAAATCGTTTTAGTGAATTTCATTTTTTCATACATATGTGCATGCCATTCTTACGCAAAATGAGATTACGAGAACAAACCGCATAAAGACTTTTCTTTCTTTTCACGTTTAATTCAGTGTCGTTTCTTTCGAAATGTATAGGCTACTAGTTCCGAGTGTTTCAAAGTAAACCCACACCATTTATTTTGTCAGTGTACGGTGAAATAACAGTACAAAAAAAAAAAAGATTGAAAAAATCAGATGTGCAGAAAATGACTGAAGTGAGTGCTTAGCCTATTTCATATATTTACTCGAAATTCTCTAAAAATGGAAAAATAAAAATATATAGATATAGGCAGATTTCTTACTAAAAACTGGCCAGAAATCACAGTGCATTTATGCATTTAGCAGATTTTTTTT